GGTCTCATCTGCAGAGGTGGAGGGGTTTGGTCGGAAACCCCCGCCCCAGGGCTCCAGTGGGGCCAGGCTCAGCACCCAGGAATGGCCCTACACCCCTGGAGCTGGGTGCAGCCCCCTCCCCAGCCAGGGCAGCACTAGGGTGGTACCAGGGAGAGCTTGGGGCTGTTGGCCTAGGGCCCCCTGACCCCCCCACCTCTCCCCTCCATGGTCCCGGTAGTGGAAGACAGAAATCCTGGACTACTGCCCCAGCACCCGGGTGCTGCTGATCGGCTGTAAGACGGATCTGCGAACCGATCTGAGCACTCTCCTGGAGCTGTCCCACCAGAAGCAGGCTCCTGTCTCCTCCGAGCAGGTGAGTACCAGCATCCTGCCTTCTTATCCCAGCTCCAGCCGTAGCCCAGAAGGACCTGGCTCTGGCTTGAGCAGTCTGTGGGGTAGCATTTGGGACCTTCCCCTCCTGGTGCCTGCCAGGCTCCCAGGCCTCCAGCTGCCCCCTCATCTCTCTCTTTGCTTGGGTTGCAGGGCTGTGCCGTGGCCAAGCAGCTGGGAGCTGAGAGCTACCTGGAGTGCTCTGCCTTCACCTCGGAGAAAAGTGTCCATAGCATCTTCCGCACAGCCTCTGGCGTTTGCCTGAGCAAGGGCAGCCCCCCGCCCCCCAAGAGCCCCGCACGCAGCCTCTCCAAGCGCTTGCTGCACCTGCCCAGCCGCTCCGAACTCATCTCATCCACCTTCAAGAAGGAAAAGGCGAAAAGCTGCTCTGTCATGTGAAAGGGGGGCCTGCTTCCAGCCCCTGGACACTCTCCAGCCCCCACAATGGGGAGGGGGGGAGGGCTGCCCCAGCAGGGGGGAGCTGGGAGCCGGGTCATACCCCGCCAGAAGCGCGGGCCCCATGGTGAGGCCTTCCCCTGCAGAGGGGATTTGGGGCCTGGAGGCTTCCCCGGCTGCGGCAGCCCCAGAATCGGCCCAGCTCATCGCAATGCTTCCCACGCAGGCTCCGCGCACGTTCTCCGGGGGATGGGGAGAGGGGCGGCCGGGGCCCTGGGGTGACCCTG